CAATGGTGCATGGATGCACTTTGACACCCTTTAGCATTTTTGCTCAAATCCGAATTTAATGGACTTTGAATTATTTTTGAAACCTTTTTAAAACTTTGAATAAATTTAATTCAAGTCCAAAAAAATTATGTCTTAAATTTGTTATATCGAAACATAATTCAACAATATCCCCCTTTTTGATATAACAAAACATTTGAAAAAATGTTTTTGGCAAAACTCCACCTTAATAAAATGTTTAATGAAAAAGATACCAATTGTTAACAAAATGATATCAATTGTTACCAATCGTTTGAAAATATATGAAAATGTTAAGCTCCCCCTTTTTTATTAAAAAAATTGAATTTTTCAAACCAAACTTCTCCCCCCCTTTTTGTTATATAAAAATAATTCAATCTTTGAAGTTCAAAATAACTTTGGAGAGTAAGTAGTAAATTTGACATTTTAAAACTTATTTGAAAAATCAAAGCTCCCCCTCAATAAATGCATTCCAAACAAAATTTAGCTTTAAGAACTTGACACTTAAACAAAATTGAATTTCAACAAAGAATAACAAACATGTTAGTAGTACATGAAATTCAATATATACAACTCTAAAATACTTTATGCACTATTAATTATTGAAATTAAGTGCATATGCATAAAGTTTTCCAAAAATATTATGCATTTGAAAATTTTGATATCAATTGTTAGAGAGAGATCATTTCATTTAAATCACATGCATAAACATTTAAATTTAGGTCAAAAATTTAAAATTTGTAAAATCAAAGTTTTTGAAAAATTAATATCAATTGTTAGAGAGATATCATTTGCATTAAAACCAATTTTGACCAAAATTTTATTATGATGAACTAAAAATAAAAAAAAATCATTAAAAATTTAAAATGTTCATCATAACCATTTTTTTAACATACATGAGATTAAAAACAATGCGTAATCATTTAAAATCAAAACTCATGCATGCATAAATCCTATGAGCAACCAAATAACTAAAATTAAAAACATTAAGCTTAGAGGTTACCCATTCCTTTCATGTGTGGCTAGAGCATAATTAATATCATCATTTTCATCACCATTGCTCCCACACGCCTACAAGAGATATTTAAGTAGATCTTGGTATCCAAATTGCTTTGGATCCTTGAACGTTAGTTTCAATGCCCCTTGTTCCTTTCGGAACCCATACTTGTCTAGTTTTAAAACGTTTTCCTTTCTTTAAAGGACAAGTATATTCCTTATGACTATGATAATGACAATGTGAAAATATTGTCATTATTGAACTAGATGAATTATTTAAAATGATCTCTTTTCCTTTTGTTAAACATTCAAGCTTAAATTTCAAATCGAAATTTTCTTTTTCAATACTTTCAAATTTCATTTTTGAAAGCTCTAAATCCTTCTTCAAGATTTCATTTTGATTTTAAAAATCCATTTTCATTTCTAGAAGAAGTTTGTTTAATTTGAAAATTTCTTTTTCAAAGTTTTCAGATTTTATTTTGAAAGCTCTAACTTTCAACATTCATTTTGATTTTCCAAGTCTGTTTTAGCTTTCAAAAGAAGATCATTTTAGCAATAAATTTAGAAATCAAATTTTATATTTGGAGTTCATGGTCTCAAACTCCGAAAAATTCATCATAGGCATCTTGTAACTCATTAAAAGAACATAAATTTAACTTATTTGAGTTTGAAGATACCTTTGGCTCTGTTAGAGCTAATAGAGACATCATCGAAATTTGCTCTTCTTTCTCGTCTCTATAGATTTCCTCGAGCTTATTCCAAAGCTCCTTGGCACTTGAACATGAAGAAATTCCTTCATAGATTTCAAGACCAAATGCACACAACACCATGTGCATGGCCTTCGCATTAAGTTGATCTGTCTTCAATTCTTTGTCACTTCACTTCTTCTCCTTCTTCTTTGGAGAAGAGTAGCCATTCTTGATAATCTCCCATGCATCAAGATCATTGGATTGGATGAATACGTTCATTGATTGCTTCCAATGATGATAGTTGACTCCATTGAAGTATGGAGGCATAACCGTTAGTAGGGAGTCTTCCATGTAGAACGAGTAGGAGGTGGAAGCCATCTTCTCGGTTGTGTTGGGAATTGGTAGAGCTTCTTCAAGGATCGTCTCATGGTGGTTAAACCTTCTTAATGAGTTAGGCTCTGATGTCAATTATTGGGATTTTCGGAAGCTCGAATTGACAACCGGAATGGTTTGCAAAAAGGGGTCGGAACGGTTTTGTGTTTAGGGAGTAAGGAGATTGAAAGATAGAGAATTGCACAACGATTTATAGTGGTTCGACTTTATCAACCAAAGTCTACGTCCACTACCTTAGCTCCTTACCAAGGATTTTTCAACAAATTCACTATTTTGTTATTTCTTTTGAGGACAAATAGATAACCTTACAACTCCCTAGTTTTTCCGGGCTAAACTAGAACCTTTCCCCTTTACAAAAGGATAATAAATGTAAACAAGAAAACCTCTCCAAGGTAGGTGTTTACAAGAATTAAGCTCACAAGAACAAAATATTTACAAGAGAAAGATGAAATAAGAATGAAAAACTCTTCTCTTGTGTTTGATTGCTTGGATAGTTGTTCTCTTGCTTCTTCAAGTGTTCTTAGCTTGTATTTATAGCTTGGAATGTATTTTATGTCGTATATAACCGTTGGGGATGTTTTGGAGCCGTTTGGGGATGATTTTTCTACTTAAAAAGGCTGCCCATAACATGGTGCATCGGTGCACTATCAAGGTGCATCAATACCCCTTCATTAAATTCAAATAAACTAGTCGTTAATAGCTGTTGTAGCCTTGGTGCATGGATGCACAGCAGGGTGCATCGATGCACTAATTGCATTCGAAATGGAGTGCATGGATGCACTGCATAGTGCATCGATGCACTAGTGGCAGGTGCATGGATGCACTGCAGGGGTGCATGGATGCACTGCAGGAGTGCATGGATTCACTTTGACACCCTTTAGCATTTTTGCTCAAATCCAAATTTAATGGACTTTGAATTATTTTTTAAACCTTTTTAAAACTTTGAATAAATTCAATTCAAGTCCAAAAACATTTTGCCTTAAATTTGTTATATCGAAACATAATTCAACACTCTCATTCTTGATTTTCTTCCTGAGCTCATAACTATGCAAAGCAGCAGTTACATCTTTAAGGGTAACATTATCCTTACCATGAAGTAACGTTGTCTCAAGGTGCTCAAATTCATCTGAAAGAGATGACAACAACATCAAATTCAAATCTTCATCTTTGAAGGTTTCATCCATGCCCAATAAGTTTGCCACTAGCTCATTGAACGCAGTGATATGTTCATTCATACTAGTGTCTGGTTGACACTCAAACCTGAACAATCTTTTCTTCATGTGGAGACGATTCTGAGAGCTTTTCTTTAGGAATTTTTCCTCCAATGTTTTCCACATCTTACTTGCAGAAGTCTCATTCTTGTAGTCATACTTATGCTCCCTAGAAAGACAAGATCGAATCATGTTACACGCCAAACGATTGATTGTTCTACATTCTTTCTCCTCCATATCTACGGGTTTTTCTTCATAAATAGTGATGTTTAGACCTTGTTGGAATAAAGCGTCTAACACCTCGCCTTGCCACATGCCAAAATGATCATATCTATCGAACAACTCCACCGAGAAGTTTGCATTTGACATCACCCTCCTCACCGGTCCAGATGAAGAGCTTGATGTCTCAACTGATCCGTATTTTGGCATTTTAATTCTAACAAACAATATTCAATAGCACAAACTGTATCTTTTCAACAACAGGACCACCAAGATAACCACAACCGAAGCTCTGATGCCAATTGTTGGGGAAACCGAGTTATTTCCCACACGAACGTAGTTTCAAAATTGATTTGAAATATCAATATCAAAACCACCAAAGATTGCGCAGCGGACAAACCCGTCAAACTATTGAATATTGAAACACAATGGAAAAACCAAATAAAGAACAATAAAGGAGAGAACACACCAAATTTACAAGGTTCGACTAAAATATCGTCTACTCCTTGGGCACCACACCGGATGATAACTTCACTATCAAAAAATATTATAAAAATGAAATACTTAGGCCTATTTATAGTTGAGTTTTAAGGACTAAACTTATAAATAACATAATATTTTAGGGACCAAAGATGAAATTCCCATGTGCACAAGTTTGACCACCTACCAAAGATGAATTTTCCAATATGTATAAGTTGACCACCAACCAACTTGTCAACTTTGCCAACTTGCCAAATTTGACAATTTGCAAGCCAAACATAACAGACATAACAACGTTAAGGTGAATCATAAAAGATAGCAAATACCGAGGGTTTTACTATTATGTATTTTTTTAGACTTGATTTATAATTGCTCTCATATTTTGGCACTTTTCACCAAATCATCCTCCGTGCTTCACCAATTCTGCAACCAAGTCCCTTCCACCGCGCCTTCTCACTCCGAGATGTTTCTTGGGACCCTCTACAAGATAGGGAGATGAAATTTCTAACACTTTATAACAATATCGTCCCAATAATATAGACTTGATAGGTAAAAAAAAAAAGGAAATCCCTCAACAATACTCAATTTTTTTATTAGTTAACTATCTACCAGCTAAATTGGTAATACATCTGAACTCATCAACTAAACCACGTCAAGATTCTAACTATGCCCAATTAGGATTGAATATATGAATTAGGGCCAAAGCGAGTAAATAGAAATTAGGATCTTGGTCTCCCCTTGGTTAATGGGATAATTTTATGTTTAGTCTCTTTATATATTGAAAATTTTAATTCAAACTATGAGGTGGATTTTTTCCAATAGGTATTGGTCTGTTCAGCTGCCGACAAGTATGTCTTCGCTTAAAAAATTGCTGTTTGTAGTAGTTTCCCCCCTACTAACTCATAAAAATTTAAAACGCTTAAAGAAATGTATAGCATAAGAAACAGTACAATCGTTCGACTGAATGTTAAGCCATGAGATATTGTTGCGGTTCATCAAGGAGGAACTTCTTGAACCAGTAAGCCGAATGCTTAAGGTATCTTCTCAAGTTGTTCTTGTAATCAATGTACGTGAACCCGAATCGAAGAGTGTATCCCGAAGTCCACTCGAAGTCATCCGAAAACGCGCCCACATATAGTAACCCTTTATGTTAACGCCCTCCCTGCCAAAAGGTCCATAAACACAATCGAATTTAGCAACAAGTTAAGCTAAAGCTAAGCTTGATTTATGGATTAAGTACTCACCGGATTGCTTTCAAAAGGGACCTTAAGTGGTCGTCAAGGTATCTAATCCTAGTGCTATCTTTAAGGGCTTCTTCTATTGTCAATGAAGCATTATTTGCTTCAGCCACCCCTGCAGAAAACAGAAAGCAAATGAAATTCAGGGTACTGGCTTCAAATGCATGGAACTTAAACATCATAACCAAGGACCAAAGACTCCGCGATCCGGCTAACCGTTCTCCGTAATGTAAACGGGTGGATTGTTGTATTTGTTCTTTATGTATAACATGAGATCTCTCAATCCCTTTGGATAAATGAAAAGCCAGCTCACATCAGTCTGCGAAATCGTCGACAAAGATATTTTGTTCATCAAAATGGGCCTTGGAAGATCAGAAAAAGAAGAAAGAGCTCAGAAATTACTGGTGTGCCGATTGGAACTCCATTCTTCTCGGCTGCGAGAACGAAATGGTACGTTAATGAGAATGCTACTAGGCTTTTCCGGGTTCAAATACAATGAGATCATTGGCATACTTGTGATATTTGCCCCTGGCATCACTGAATAAGGTTGAAGTGTTTGATGGAGGAGCATTTTGTGCATAGTTTGAAGTGTAATAATTTGCACCAAGAAAATCAATGGACCCTTTTAACATCTTGGACTGTGCTCTAGTGAATTTGGGCAATCTGCTTCCTACCAATGATTGCATGCTCTTTGGATACTCACCGTATATTATCGGATCCAAAAACCTTCATGAGTTTTGCCGAATAAGAAACATTCGATATAATTCAGTAAATTTAGACAAAAAAGTAATACGAATACAATAAGAATAAATGAATTATTTGGTCTAAGATCAAATCATGCAATGAAGGGAAATCTAACACTATTTATTTATTGGGGGTTCAAAGACGATTTATTCTTTCTAATTTAAGAGGAGAATTGTAACTTATTACAGTTTGAGGTCGGATATGATGATTGTTCTTCTATATACATATATATATATATATATTGAGTAACACGACTCACCATCCAAAAGTAAAATCCAGTGCCCTGAAAGCTGCCTCGCGGTCTTCAGTTGTATCATATTTTGGTACGTACCAGAAGGTTACTAAGGTAATCCCAATTTCTCCCTTCTGAGATTCCTGCACATCCATCACCATAACACATGCGAATTTGAATTCAGATTTGTTCTTATTTAAACATAATTATGTACAGATCTGTTTATATGCATTCTGCATTATATCTAATTACATATAGATATTATTCTGGTCGAATTCGATTCAAACCTGCCACTTCTCTCTGTAGAGTTTAACAGCAGCTGCATGGGAAAGAAGGAAGTGATGGGATAAGATATAAGACTGGTTTACTGAAGTGACAATGCCCATGCTCCACCCATTTGGTTCGTTCATAGTCACCCAGTGCTTGACTCGATCCCCAAAAGTTTTGAAGCAAAAATCAGCATAATCAACAAAGTCATCTCTGTCTAGGAAATAAAAATTCATATTACGTGTTCGAAATTCGAATATATGTCGGACACAAATACATAAATGCGAATTGATGAGAAAACTTACACAACTTTGGGACTTGAAAATCCACCATATTCATCTTCAAGAGCTTGGGGATGATCAAAATGGAGTAAAGACACAAAGGGAACTAAAGCATTGGCAAGGAGGTGGTCGATGAGATTGTTGTAAAATTGGACCCCCAGTGGGTTCACTCCACCACTAAGTTTTCCCTCTGTAGATTAGAGACCCTGTATTTAATTTTCTATGCAAAATCCATCAACTATTTGAATTATTATTAAAATTAAAATTAATGAACTTACTGGGTAAAATTCTAGACCATGAAATGGAGAATCTGAAGGAATCCAAACCAATTTTTTTCATTAGCATTATATCCTCCTGTACATAATTAAATTGACTACTTAATTTCAATGATTAAAGTCATTGACGCATATAGTTAGTGCATCAAATATTAATCTATGAAAATAATTAACCGAAAGATGACTAACCTTGTAACGATGATAAAAATCAATTGCTACATCTCCTGTACTCCCATCAATAATATTTTCTGTAGGTATATCATACCCCGAGTTAATTTAGCTTTTCTTTAAAGATCATATTAATATTTTTATTTAAAAATGAACACTATAACTAATTAACAAAAACATTCGAATATTGGCATTATGAATGAAAAAAATTAGATTAAAAAATCATTTCAACAATGTATCAATACAATATTTAATTTAAACTAATTAACTAATAAATTAAATATCGATAATTATAAATAAGTATATTAATTATTTCCTATAGTTGGGTTTATTTGCCCTTTTATATGAGTGATGTATAAAATAGATAAAATTAACAAAATGAACCTGGATATTTTCTAACGAAGATGTCCCAGAAATTTGGTCCTTTTCCATCTTCAAGAGCTGCTCCTTCGATCTGCGGTAGCAGCGGTACCGATATATAATTCTCGATAGACATTTTACAAACTCCTAAAACAAATTAGTTAAAACTCCAGGTAGTCGCATGTCAACCAATTTTTATTGTTAGTTATACTTTATTTTCCTTGGGCTGATATCCCGACTTCGTCTTTGGATAAAGACGGTCATTATCTTAAAAGTTTTCAATCTTTTTCTTTATATTTTCTGTTGATAATTTATTTTCGTTTTCTAAGATTTTATAAATTTGTCCTACACTAAAATTCTATAAATTCATTCCTAACATATTTGTTTTGATAATATTATTAATAAACCAATAGGAGAAGGTAGGTACCTGGTAAGCAGCTGACCCGGCACCAAAAATAAAACCATGAGGAAAGTAGCTGCGGTTAAATGGCGTATGAGTATCCGTTGCACCCGAAGCTCCAGCAGCTCCCGGGGCTAGTAGCAGCATTAGCATGCGCAACATCAAAGGCCTGTCGATTCCCATGCCTCGTCCCTCTCCGATCTCCATCCACTCTTTCCCTATATATACAAATGGCCGTCCGGGTTTAAATAAAAACAAGTTGGTATTAAATTAGAATTGTGCAATCAATTATGAACATCACTGAATAGTTCATATGATTGTCACTTTACATTATTTTATATAATCAAGTACAAAAGATATTGTTAATCATATGTGAACTTTGACTTGATCTTCCATGTGATAAAGACACCACAACTTGTTACTATGAAACAATGTGAACTATATTTTTATTTGATTATAGATAAATAAAATTGCTAACTTGTTTCTGATAGGCCGAGTCAAGTATATGGTTGAAAATGTACAAGATAGGTTAAGTATAACTTTTGGTACATGAGTTTGGTATTTACATGCGATGAGATTAGGGATGATTATGAGTCGAATTAGATCGGATTTTTATCACATTTAAATTTCATTCGGGTATAATATTTTTTCATCCATTATCTGAACTCGACCCAAGTATAATATACCTTCATTCATCTCCTGACCCAATCCAATTTTAGAGAAATTTTATCAACCTAAAAATCCAATCTGATTTGAGGAGAAAAACCCGCACCTTACATATATATAATAATTTTTATTTTTGTTAGGTAAAATAGATATCTAATTGAATATATATATATATATATATATAAAGAATGATATTATAACAATTATCTCTAAATATATAAATGTCAATTATATTATTATTTTTGGATCAGATCAAATATTTTTCTTTATAAAATCTAACATGAATTTTCAATAAGAAAAATACTATAAAATCAGATCGAGTCATAAATAATCAAATTCACATCAAATGTACATCCTAAATCAGATCTAACAAGACATTCACCAAGAAATAGTTCATTTTTAAATTTATATAACACATTATCGATTAAAATTATTAATAAAGAAGAGATCTAACAAGACATTCCCTAAGCAAAATCATATTGTTTAAATGATACAATAGCCCAAATAGCTAAACTAATTAAAAACTTAAATAATCAAAAACCCTTCTCCATCTCCCTGTTTCATAAGAAATTGTAAAAGAAAAAAATTATAGCGATTCATAATTCTAAATGAATCTCTCACTGTGGAACTATTGAAGAGGAAAACTGTTTCAACTCCTACATCTATATGTGGGAATGTTGTTGAGCCTGAGGTTTCTGATGTAGTTTCAAAAGAATGCTGGTTCCCGTTATTAGCTCGTCGTATTTCCTCTACCGTCTATGCTAGGTCGGCAGTTTTCGGTCTCTGTTCCGGCACTCTCACCACACAACTCATTGCAACCTGTAGCATCTCCACCATTTCCTCCTCAATATTTGGAATCCGTAAGAGTTCCACGTCGAACACTTCGGCCGTCCACTCTTCCCGAACCACCGAATGCACCCACCTCACCAAATGAACTCTCTCCTCGCCACCAGTTGCGTGTATCGGTGATCTCCCAGTTAGAAGCTCAAGTAAAAACACCTCAAAACTGTATACATCAGATGCTTGAGTCGCTTTCCTTGTGTCTGTTACTACTGGTGCACGGTAACCAGCAGCACGCATTATGGTCGGGGGCATTGAGCTCATCACCGATGCTAAACCGATATCCGAGACGCAACCGTATTGTTCGGAGTCGAGGAAAATGTTGGAGGCTTTTATGTTTCCATGTACAAGTTTGCCATTGTTTTGTGAATGGATATAAGCAATGCCTCTTGCAGCACCAATTGCAATCTTAAGTCTAGTTTCCCAGTCCAGAAGTGTCCTGCTTTCACCCCTTTTACCTGAAAATGCATACAGACATATACATATACATACACATACACATACGCATACGCATACGCATACGCATATAGGCACGCATACGCATACGCATACGCATATAGGCACGCATACACATACACATACACATACACATATAGGCACGCACACACATAGATTAAAGATCAAAGAACATATTATATTAAATAAAATATACCCGAATTCGAGTATATCGAGTTAGTTTACCATGTAGCAAAGCAGAGACACTTCCTAGATCATAGTAATCATGAACCACAAGCTTCTCATCTTTTGAATAATAATATGCTCTTAGTGCAGACACATTCTCATGCGTGATATGACTAATGACCTCCATTTGTTGTTCGAACTCCCATTTCACCGATGCAATCTCTTTTAACCTCTTAACCGCCACGGTTACCGAATCCTCCAAGGCCGCTTTATATGTCACCCTAAATGTACCCTTCCCAAGCACCTCAGCAGAAGCACTCAACAAGTCCTCAAGATCAAATGCAAGATTACACCCCTCAAAGAACACAAGCCTGTTGTTGTTATCATGATTCTTGAAAGCCATTTTCTTCAAAGAGATTTCATTCTTCGGGGTGTTTTCATGGAGTTCTTGTTGCGGAAGACGGCTATCGGATAGAGCAAAATCGCAACTGATAATTTGAGAAAATAAAAATAAAGATAAAAGAGACACAAAATTTGCGTGGAAAACCCCTGAATAATATAGGGTAAAAACCACGGGCAATGGTAGAAGAATTTCACTATGAGAAAATAGGAATTACAACTTCTCTCGATCTTCCAAGGAGAAAACAATGATAATTCTCTCTTGATAAAAAGGAGAAAACAACTCTCAAGAAACTCTCTAAATTCTCTCTAGTATTGGAAGAAAGCTAGAATGTTTTGGGATGATTTTAAAGCTAAATGGGATAGGGTATTTATAGCTAAATCTTAAGAACTTAATCTTGTAAATACCCTAAAGTTTAATGATTAAAATGTTATAATTATCCCCTTTTTTTTCAACAAAATGCAACCATCTTTGAATTAAATCAAAGTAGTTGGCTGCCATCTAGAAGATTAGCCGCCCATGATGACTTTTAACAATCTCCCACTTGAAGATTTGATTGGAACAATCATATCTTCACACTATTCTTTATACCTTGTACCTTCATGTTGCTTACGTTTCTGACAGGCCACAAGAGGATCGACACCAGGTAAATTTATCAGCTTTGATCGCCTTCGTCATGAAATCTGCTATGTTGTCTTTGGTATGGATCTTCTGCATATCTACCGTCCCTTCTTCCACCTTTTCACGAATGAAATGGTATTGAACTCGTATGTGTTTTGTCCTTGAATGAAATGCTGGATTCCTTGCTAGATGCAAGGCACTTTGACTGTCACAAAACAAAGACACATACTCTTGATTGTGCCCAAGCTCCTCCAATAGCATCTTTAACCAAATTGCTTCTTTACTGGCTTGTGTAGTTGCTACATATTCTGCCTCTGTTGTGGATGTAGCCACAACTGACTGCAATTTTGAAACCCAGCTTACAGCTCCACCATCAACTTTGAACACATATCCTGTAGTAGATTTGCTTTTATCCAAATCCCCTACATAGTCAGAATCTACATACCCATTGATTAGTAAGTTTGATCCTCTGTAACATAATGCAACATTTGAGGTCCCTTTGATGTATCTTAGGATCCTCTTTACAATATTCCAATGCTCTTTGCCTGGATTCTCCATGTACCGACTAACCACTCCTACTGCTTGTGCAATGTCTGATCTTGTGCATATCATAGCGAACATTAAACTTCCCACTGCTGTTGCATACGGTACTCGAGACATCTTCATCCTCTCTTCTTCAGTGCTAGGACTCATACTAGAGGATAATTTGAAGTTAATAGGAAGAGGGGTAGAAATTGGCTTACAATCTTGCATTCTAAATCGTGATAATATTTTCTTCAAGTAATTCTTTTGTGAAAGCCAAATCTTCCTATTACTTCTGTTTCGGTGAATTTGCATCCCTAGAATCTTGTTTGATGATCCCAAGTCCTTCATTTCAAATTCCCTAGCCAGTTGTGCCTTCAATTCTTCAATATGATCTTTGTTGGGTCCTGCAACCAACATGTCATCCACATACAACATCAATATAACAAAATCGTTATCACCAAACCTCTTGAAATAAGCACAAGGGTCTGCATTAAGTCTGTTGTATCCAAGGCACATAATGAAGGAATCAAATCTCTTATACCAACACCTCGGCGCCTGCTTTAGACCGTACAGAGATTTGTTCAACCTGCAAACCAAGTTCTTCTTTTCGTCTTCTTCAAAACCTTCAGGCTGGAGCATATAAATCTATTCTTCAAGATTTCCATGAAGAAAAGCTGTTTTAACATCTAGTTGTTCCAAATGTAAATTCAATGTAGCACACATTACCAAGACAACTCGAACTGTTGTTAGTCGAACCACAGGAGAAAAAATTTCATTGGAATCAATACCTTCTTTCTGAGCATATCCTTTGACCACCAGTCTTGCACGATACCTCTCCACTTGATCGTCACCATTTCGCTTGATTTTGAAAACCCATTTGTTACCAATTGGCTTCCTTCCTTGTGGTAGTGGCACAAGGTCCCATGTATTATTTTTATGAAGGGCTTCGATTTCTTCTTGCATCGCCATCATCCACAATGAAGCATATGAGCTGTTTATTGCCTCTTGATATGTTGATGGCTCACCATCCTCTGTTAAAAGACAGTATGCAACATTTCCTTCTATAACATAATCTGAGTGCCAATTGGGACGTCTTCTCACACGATCTGATTGACGAGTTGTTGGAGCTTCAGAACTCTCTGGTTCTTGTTCATCATGTGTTGGTTCTTCTTTAGAAGAATCTCCTTGTTCAAACTCCTTTTCCACATGTATCTGTGTAGTCTCTGACTTTTCAGCGTTATCATCGTCTTCTTTTCTTTGTAGCTTATCTTATACAAAGATAACATCTCTGCTAATGATCACTTTGCGGGCAGTGGGATCCCACAAGCGATACCCCTTTACTCCATCAGCATACCCCAAGAATTTGCATTTCCTGGATTTTGGATCCAGCTTTGAAATTTCTTGGGCGTTGTACATCACGTAAACAATACTTCCAAATACATGGAGGTTTGAATAATCAACTGGTTTACCAGTCCACATCTCCATTGGTGTCTTCAGCTCTATT